GTGTTTTACGGCGTTTGCACTGCATAAGGTCATACGAGCGTGCGAGACACAATAAACATTTTCAGTTGGTGGGAAATTTTGAATTTTGCCCGAGTAGCGGTCGAAACCTATTCTTATCGATTTTAAACCCCAAAGGGATCTTTAACGTGCGCTACTTGTACACGAAACCTCCGAGACTTTTCGCCCTTGTCCAAGAAGGCTTGACGTAGATCTTTCCTTCCAGAAGGCCAGGGGTGTGGCTGAAAGACAGCAGTAAGAAGGAGCCAGAGTAGCAGTAGAAAGGCTGCAGAAAGAGTCAGGAACCCCGAGGAGGGGGCAAAGGAGGTGATGGGATGGGGGCAGAAACTGGAGACGAAAGCAGACGACAGAACATTGCTAGAGAGCAGGAAAAGAGACGAAAGCAGACGACAGAACATTGCTAGAGAACAGGGAACATTACCTTTGGCTTTCTGCTGGTCAGAGATCATTATTTCATTATTTGTCCCTTTCCACTTACAGCTTACACCTCCCCTCTCCTTGTCCTGTTGAAAGTACACCCCGTGTGTAAATCAGAAGTCTCATCAGCGAGGTAAAAGTCAAGTTGAAGTCTCTATTTGGAACTTACTTGACCTACTGCACACACATTCTGGGTTTCCGCTCTCTCTCTCTCTCTCTCTCTCTCTCTCTCTCTCTCTCTCTCTCTCTCTCTGCACGACCCATAGATTTGTATCGTAATATCTCGCGATCCATAGATTTGTATCGTAATATCTCGCGACCCATAGATTTGTATCATAATATCTCGCGACCCATAGATTTGTATCATAATATTATCTCAGACTGGGCACTTTTGCGCGATTTCTACTCTCTACGTAGCGCACCATTTGATTCTGTTTTGGAAACCAAATACTGATGGAAAGGGTAAAGAGGGAAAGTTGCGCGAGCACTTGACTCTAGTCTAAAGAGACTTAATATGTTTTGCCCTTCATTTGTACTTCTATGGTATTCTTCAGCCTATGGTGTGTGCCAGTGCAGCGCGAATATTTTTATAGAGAGCAAAGAGTGGTGGCCATGACAGGGTCCAAAGTCTATGGCGTGGCTAACAAGGGGGGGGGGGAGCTGTGACGTCATACACAAAAGACGATTTTGACTTATTCCAAAGAGGTTATAATATTACTTTTTGACTTATTCTAATTAAGAAGGGAGAGGGCAAGTAGACCTTTGCCATTAGCAACACACATTACGATTCTTAAAGGTAACATTACTGGCGTGTTACAGGTAAGGACATAGTGAGAACTTATACACAGTGCACGCTGCCAATTTGATTCATCTGATTCCGTCGGTGGCTGTTAAACTTTTTCTTCACCGAGGTCCAAAAGATACCGTTTGTACTTGTACCGAGTGCACCCTGGAAGTAGAATTAAATCAAACTGAGTCGGGTCCAGCCATATTTTCCTCCGTAGAGGGGCAAAAAGCTACCAACTAGGCACAAAGCCATCAATTCGATTTGCGACCTTGAAAAGTAAAACGTGTTTGATTTTGAAGGTCACGGTCGAATTTAGTTGAATTCGATCTTATTGCGCCAAAATAGATAGCTTTTGTCCCATCCATGAAGGAAAATTAAAATGGCCGTGATTAAAACACATAAATCACAGCAGTGTGCACTGGGTTTAAATGGTTGTGCGTAACTTCCCGTACTTTTATCTGCAGCAAGCGGAAAGGCTTATCCTCTATACTATACGCAAGACCGGCCACTTTCCCCTCTCTGTGACTTTTGATGAGATCACTAATAGGCTTTATGAACTAATAAATCAAAAAATTTTCCCCCTAGCCCCCAGTGCGTGGTACGGTCTGTGTAGATCTATGAGGGTGGAGGTGGCAGATTATTGTCGCTTTGTCAACGAGAAGAGACGAGTAACGATGTGCAATGTACTTGTACTTTAACGTGTACAACGACTTGATTAGTCAATAAATGTGGGTGAAGTGCTGCAGAATACCGAGAGAGACTCGCCTCCCCCCTCTCCCCC